TTCCACTTTAGGGGCACTTCCGTTGTCAATCAGAGATCACTAAAGTTAGGGAAGAAAAACAAACTCTGAAATGGAAATGGCAGGGTTGGAAAGTTAACTTTAAGCTTTTAAAACAATGCTTTGTTAAGACATGGAGGTACATAGCAGATAAAGTACTTTCCCAGCTGGTATGCCTGAGGCCTGAGTTCAGTCCCCAGCACCACAAACTAAGTAGGTAGGAAGGTAGACTGACAGACAGACAGACAGACAGACAGACAAAAATACTATTGGGGGCTGGAGAGCTGGCTCAGAATTAAAAGCACTGGCTGCTTTTCCAAAGGAGACCCACATCTGATTCCCAACATCCACACATCTGCTAACCACTGCCTGTAACTGCAATTCCAGGGGATCCAGGGCCCTCTTCTGACCTCTGCAGGCACCAGGAAAAATTCCCATACACATAAAATAAAATTAAAAATTAAAAAAATACATATTGTTGGGTACATGCTTCAGCACCAGTAAAGGACAGAATCTCCTGCTAACCAGAATTAAGAATGGAGCCTTTTGAGATCTTTCCTGGAAACATCTACCCCACCCCATTCTGGGAATGGAATCCAGGGCCTTGTACATGTCAGGCAAGTGTTCTACCACTGAGAGCCTTTGCTAAGTCCTATATAAGTATTTTTTTATTTCCTATTTCATTTGGTATTGTGACATGAGAATTGTTTAAGTCAAACTTTTCTTCTGGCCTGATTTTCTTGGATGTGCTATATTTTATCATGGCTGTGTTACTCCATGGCTGTGTTAGTGTGAAGAAATGTATATATAATGAAAGTCCACTTCCCTTCTTTCTTCATATGTTTATAATTTGGAGTTGCTTGAAATTGTGTTAAAAATGACATCTTAAGGAGTCCCCCTGCATGTCAGAGATGTCACATGAAAACTTTACCTAAGCATGCACAAGCCGGGAGGTGATGGTGCACACCTGTAATCCCAGCACTCAGGAGGCAGAGGCAGGCTAACTCTGTGAGTTCAAGGCCAGCCTGGCTGGTCTAGCAAGTTCTAAGACAGCTAGGGCTACACAGAGAAACCCTGTCTCAAAAAACCAAAAAGGAAGGAGGGGGGGGGAGAGAGAGAGAGAGAGAGAGAGAGAGAGAGAGAGAGAGAGAGAGAGAGAGACTGAGCAAGCAGTGTCAGAAGGAAGAACAGTGATTGAATGTTGGATGTTGTGCTGGCTTGCCATATACGGGCAGGGCATTTGTTTAACATATGAACATTTTCTTACACCCAGGTTAAAGTAGAGAAGGGAGGGTTGCAAGGCTGCTTTGGCAGAGTTTCCTCTGTGTCTTCTTGACTGAAGTCTGAGCAACCATGAGAGCCATCTGGGAACCAGACAGTTCTGGATTTGAAGAATGGCTTTCCAAGCTCTCTGACTTCATCAAAGATCCCCTTCCCTCAGTAGACATGTTCTGTAGAAGCCAGCACAATTCCTGCTGACCAGTGTAGTTGTGTAGTGCCTGAGAGGATGGGTTCTGGCACCAGACCTCCTGGCTTCAGGCCCCAGGCCACTTGTGAGCTGTGTGATCTTGGTCAGGTTCCTTAGCTTTCCTGTGTTCCAGTTTCTTTATCTATCTATAAAATAGAATGAGAGCAGAGAGGCCACTCCATGAGGCTCCTGGAGTATGCAGAGGCTCTCTAGCCTTGAAGGCACCTAGTGGACACTTTAGTGCTCAGTGATACTTAATAAATGATGTGTGTGACAGTATCATGCCTGCTGGGCCTGAGGATACTGTTCCACATGATTCCTGGAGCTGGAGCTGCTAGAAGACAATGAGCCTGCCAGGGTCATACCTTTGCCAGAGGCCTTAAGGACAGTGACCCACAGAGAACGTAGCAGTAGCAGTCTTCTTTGTGCTCTTCATTCACAGAGAAGCAGGGCTGTTCTGGCCCTGCCGCCTCCTCTGCACACTTCAGAGGCTGCAGTGGCCAGTGGGTCCAGTTGTGCTGATTGACCTCTCACATACTGCACCCTAGCTCCAGAGTCTTTGTCCATAGCCAGGAGTAAACCTCCTAGCCATCCTCCCTCCAGCAAGCTTCCAACCTTTTAGCCACCAAAAAAAAAAGCTTAGGCATCCATTTGCCTCCAGGCTTAAATTTGCTCAGCTAGGTTTGAGGCCTCAACAGACTGCCCCAGGCCCTCCCTCCCTCCCTCCCAGCCTGCTTGCACTTGTTCAGTAACTGGTTTATGGGGCCTCACTCAACTTTAAGAAGCATAGCGATTCACACCCCTCCGTTGTGAGGTTATTTAATGTACAAAGGGTTTTCCCATCAGGAAAGATTCCCCTACAGGTTCCTTTAAGTAGTGAGAGTTTTACAGATCATTAACTACCTGACTGAAAGCCTGCAGGGCACAGAAACTTAAAACTAAAGTGTCGGAGCCCCTGCCAATTACAGATCAATCCAAAATGAAGACAGAGTATCACTGGAACCAAGTCAGTGGGAAAATGTGATTCGATTCAGGAAAAAAAAAAAAATCTCTTGTGCATGCTGCTTTTGTGGAGCACACCAATTTTTTAAATGATATTCTACCTGTCTGCTCATTTTGAGCCTTTTGCATTCATCTTCCACATCTCCTTCCCCAAGCTGTAGTCTTGGGGTTCAGTGGCAGTAACCCCAGAAAAGGGTGTCATTGGGAAAGAGTTCTGTGGCCAAGTAGAGTGTAGGCAACTGATACACAGATACAGCAGGTAATGGATGAACTATGCACTAACAATTTGCAGATAAAAATAATGGAAGTTAAAAGTGTACTTTACATGATAAAAGAAAGATGAAAGAGGCTGAGCAGTCTGTTACATCTGAGATGGTTACAGGAGTCCTGCTTTGTGAAGTAGGCTCTGTTGAAAAGATTGATGCAATGGGGAGTGACCTTGGCTTGGAGCAGGAGCTGGTGATGTATGTATGAGCATCCCTCTGCTAAATGGACCCAGATTTGTAGCACTAATATACATGGGAGCCCAGAACCAAACTCAGTATGGCAATAAATCAACAGCCACTTTGGGTGTCATTTCTGGTTTATATTCCACTATTGTTCTATCACTTTAATTCATGTCACTATCATCTTTTCATCTGGAACAGTTTTATATAATTTTCCAGTGGAGTTACCTGACAAATCCTATCAAATTAACAAGGTACATTAACAGTATTGACTGACTGCGGCTTCAGGAGTTGCATGGCCTTAGAACAGAATTTTAACCATCTCTGTCTGGTGATGATTTTTTTTTCTTTCTTTCTGAAAGAGGAATGTTGGGCAAGGTCTATTTCCACATAAGAGATATGCACATTTATTTTGCTGTGTTCATTTTGGCTGTTATAAATGTCAAAATAAGAAGCAGATAAGGAGGGGAAGCCCTGCTCACATGAGCACACACCCCATTACCACAGTGTGCTCTCCATGAATGCTCACCCTGTTACCACTGCCATGGCTTAAGTACTTGTCTCTTTTCAAGGAACTACAGAGATATCCAGCTCCTTAGCAATTAATGACCAAATTGGAGGCAAGAGGGTATCGGGTTAGTCATAATCCATTTCAAGTGAAATGTAACCAAATTGGTTTCCTGAGAGCTTCTCAGCCTTCTGAAACCCTCCTTAGCTGAGACCCAGAGTCAGCTGGACTCAGGGCATTATGGAAATCTGTTGCTCCTGAAATATGTCCAGTGCAACCCCAGCATCCAGTTAATAAAATAAAACCAATAAAAAACAATTGCTGGTCTCTACCAAAGATGGTAGAGGTAGCAGCCATCCCTGCACACTCAGCGTCCTCACCATCCGCACATGGCCTTCTTCCTTTGTCTGGTTTTGGAATGAATCTGCTCACAGAGTAGTACAGTGGATGGAGAGGGACAAAATGCAGTCATGGAGATTGGATTTGTTTTTATTTCCTTTTTACATTTCAGTCTGCTGCCAAACTGTGGTGGTGTTTGTCCATGTTTTGTTTGGGGTGGGTATTAATTGAGCTGGATTAGGGTGGGGTTATATCCTCTTTGGAGCTACTAATGTTTTCTTCCAGGCCCTGCTTGTCTTTCTATTACAGTATGTACAACTGATTATTTCAGGGGGGTTTTATCTTGACTTCTTTTTTATTTTTTTCCATTTTGACCCTGACCTTAAATTATGACCTAAAAATTAATGACTTTTAAGCCTCCCTGTGGGGCTCACTCCAGAACACATGGTAAAGGGTTACATCTCACTCCATGAACAAATTTCTCTTTTCAGCAAAAGAGAATTTCTAGACTAGATTCAGTGTATCAGACAGACCGTGTCCTCTCAGAAATACCCAGAGGGCACCTCAGATAAGGATGGACCCCTGCAACTCATTTGTTCTTGGTCATTGTCCAGCATATGCAAAGAAGATGCTGGGGTCTCTCCCTCAGCAGACAGGCAAGGACCTCCCCCACCTGAAAGCCAGGCTTCAAGGTTTGAACTTGGAAGGTTTTGTGTAAAGACACTTTGTTTCTCCTGTGACTTCCCTTAAATATTACTTAGGAAATTATTTGGTGTCGCAGAGGAAAGTTCTGTCTCCTCCCTTCTGTTTTTAATGTAAAATTTTTCCAGATATCGGTAACATAATCTATTACTTAGGGTCTTTATTAAAAGAAGATCAGAACTATCTTTAAAAGGCCCTCTATTGTAGTTTATGTCATTACAGTGTAGACATAATGCTATTAGCAGTCAGTGGGGAAACCGCATTGTGTCTCTATCTTATCAGAGAAAGCACACTCCTAATAGCTTTCCTTATAACTGTGGGTTGTTGCCCCACACTACACCGCTCACTTGCTCAGGCAGCCAGACTGTGAGAGTCTCGGTTGCTATTTACAAGCCTTGCCTGTTGGAAGACTCCCTCAAGCCCCAAGAGCTCATGCTCAACCACTTCATGATTTATCCAGCTGGTCAGGTCATTACACTAAAGTCACTGGCACCTTCCTCATTTCATGGCTTCTCTTTGTGTCCCCTTGGCCTTACAGGTATCTCCGGAGACAAAGTAGAGATAGACCCTGTTACGAATCAGAAAGCCAGCACTAAGTTTTGGATTAAGCAGAAGCCCATCTCAATCGATTCTGACCTGCTCTGTGCTTGTGACCTTGCTGAGGAAAAGAGCCCCAGTGAGTAGTCCTTTATTTATGTCTCCTTTTCTCGCCCCCTCCTCCCCGGGTGCCGGGTGCTGGGAGAATATATGGCCACCATGTCCTTTTTTCCTTGGGTCTGTTTAATTCATTACCAGAAATTTCTTTTAATCAAACCAGATTGTATTAAGGTACCAAGAGCCTTATGTGTGAGGTGAGCCCTCATCATGCTCCACCTTGCTATGGCAGACACCCTTGCAGCCCCTTGCTGTGGGGGGGGCTGGGTCACCCAGCAGCTTCCTGCTGGAAATTGCGTTCAGGAGAGCCCTTGAATCACTTTGTGCTCCTGTTCCTGCCCATTGGGAAAATTTGACCAGTCAGCCCTAGACTGCTTTCCTTTGGTGCTATACCCGTGAAAAGTGGATTTTCTGTTGCAGCCAGAGGCTAGACTTAGGCACTCATCATACTGAAGTGTGAGCACACCCAGAACATTGGCAGCTACATGACCTCTAGCTCATAACTAAACTTGTGCCCTATCCTACAGAAGAGGCCACTACACCATCCAAGCACATACTGTTTGGGCATGTCTCATTTTTGCAGTTAAGTAGCTGAGTGTAGTATTTAGATTAATCACTTTATCATTTTTAGGGCTCCAGCACTAGCACGAGATAAAAAGGACACATAGTTCAGAATGGAGTCTCTGTGTGAAAGCAAACAGCCAGAACTGTCTACATATTCTCAGTTGCCTAGGGAAGGCTGCAACATCTCAGGGTTCCCTGTTACCCAGAGCTCACCCCAGGCACGTTTGGCCTGGTAACTTAAGGTACAGACTGGGCATCTAATTTGGGAACCTATGCTCCCATGTCTGTGAATTTGAGAACAAGTGTTATAAGGAATTATATTCTCAGAAGGAACACTAGAGAAGGCACGGGCCAGGAAATGTTTCTGATGTGGCTTGTTTCCAAAGTCATCATGACTAAAAGGGCACCTTACAGTGCTGAGCCTCTCAGCAAGGCTTACAGGCTGGGCACATGCCACATACCCCACCCCCATGATCAGGGTTTAATTTCATTGTCAAACCCAGCTATGAAAAAGCTTTCAGCTCAGCCTCCAGCTTAGAGAGAAAGGAAAGCTTCGTGGGTAGAGAGAGACATGAGGCCATTCTTGTCCTCGTACTGCTGTCCCTGCTGTCCACTGTCACCCCAGTGAGACTCTGACTGCAGGGTGCTTGCCAAAAGAAACCCATGAGAAAAGTGCTTGCTGCTTTTGGAGCCTGAAGGCTACTAGACCCCCCCTCTGCCATAAGTAAGCCTCTCCCTAATTCTACCCGCCCATCTTGGTAGCCCCCCACCAAAAAAATGTGTTTGTCCTGGAATCTTCCTAAGTAGTGAGGACACATTGTATAACTTGTCTCAGAAACAGCAAGTGGTCACCTGCATGTTGCATACAGACCTAACCTGAAGTGGGAATGAGGACCAGATTTGGGCTCCCTCTCTCGTTCACATACACTTGCTATGCCTAGAGGAGCTATAACCCAGGCCCTGAAAAGGTGTAGTAGATGTCACATGCCCAGCTAGCAGGGAAGGAAGGGAAGGCTCACAGTCGCCCACCTCCCATGGTCTCAGGAGATGAGTCAGTCATGAGGCAATTACTGCACATCTGTGTTCATGTTCCACATCCTTAGCTTAAGGGTACAGAGCAGGTAGGCCGTCTTTTCACTGCTGATGTCTCTCCGGGGTCTTCTCTTTCACGGGGGGTGGGGGGTTGGGGGGAGGTTGACTCACTGTGGCTGAAGAGAACAGCTCCCTGCCCAGTACTCTGTAGCAGTGCTTTTCAAGCCATGTTCTCTGAACTCAAAGGTTACACAGGGACCTAAAGGGACTGTGGCTGTTGGGGGTGGAGGTAGTACTAATTTGAGAACTCCAAATTTAGGACGTTCACAGGTGAAACTTTATTTATTTACTTATTTATTTATTTATTTATTTACTTTGCTTTAAAAAATATAAAGAAGAGGAAGCATTCCATTCTGTGCATGCCTGTAACCCTTACTCCAGTCAGGGAAGGAGCCAAAGAGGATTGCTGGGGTGTGGTAGCCTCCAGCCCAGCTGAGAAAAAAGTGAGCACCATGTTCAGAGCCCTCGCCTTAAAGTGATAGACAGAGAGGAATATTGGAGGACGTTTGACACTTTCTTCTGGCCTTCATGCACATGTATACACAGATACACACAGATATAGTCTTTTTTTTTAAAGAAAAAGACTTTTAAAATTATAGGCTTTCGAAACAAAGATCTGACCCCTTGGCACAGCCCTTGCTGATGCTGAAATTCACTGATCGTTCAGGCCAGAGTTTCCCATCTGGAACTCAGGCTGGGAGGTACAGTCACACAATATGTTGTGTGTTTCTGCCATTGTGACTATGTGAGACACACCTTCCACCCTGGCCCTGCTGCTATCTTGGGGACATTTCTTCCCTCATTCATTACACTCATTCTCATTCATTGCCTCAGGAAGTTGTATAGGCCTCTGAACAAACGCAATGTGCTGCATTGTCTCCTTTCCCCCTTCTCTCCCCGCCCCCAATCCTGTCTGAGGTGAATGTTGGGCAACTTGAAACCGAACTGAATGGACCAGGATTGAAGAATAAGAAATTGTTCCCTGTAATTCTTGTAAAATGCCCACACAATGATGTTAGTAAATGAGTCAGAACGACATTGTGTGTTTCTGATTGTCAGTATCTTCACTAAATTAACTCAACAGCTGGATCTAAACAGCCCCTCCTCAGACCCTCACCAGACCACTGGGTTAATCTGTGGGGCTCTGCTTTCTCTTTCTTTCCTTCTTGATTTTTTTTTTCCCTAAAGGATTAATGGTAACCCTTTTTATCTTTTATGTCTGTTGAACCTTAGAAAAAAGTTATTTTAGCAGCACTAAAGAAATGAAAGTCACTATATTTCATAAGTTTAGCCTGTGATTTTTATCAGCATAGTGATGTATGTTTGTAGCTGAGTTTACATCAAAAATTATTCTTAGGGCTTCTTGAATGAATTATGGCAAAGAGAAAGAGTCTAGAAGTAGATAAGGTTTTTGATTTCTGCAATATATTCTCTTTTTCATGTTTTTATCTCTCATAACACAAGTGTCTTCCCAGAGACTGGAACGTGTGACCAACTGGAATAATTTAGTTGTGAAAACAGAGCAGACATGTTATTAAGCAACCCACTCCACAAAAAGGCGTTGAGTGTGGGGGGATAATGAAGCTATCCCCATTCTTACTTGAGACGTGTTTGTCAGAATTTTGAACAGAAAAGAAATGTTTTAAACCCTTCGAATACGGCCATTTTGCAGGGTTTATGGAAAAAGCTGCTGTCACACCATTCATCTGGTCGTCATAAGAAATACAGCTCGGGTTTAATTGATGCCACATCCCAAAAGTGTGTGAATAGCTGACTTGGCAAAGGGGCTGAACATTTGCACGGGGAAAACTCTGAATTACAGACTGCATGAACAGAGCAGCCAGGCTCCCCAACAGTTCTGCGTGCTCCTGCACCCTGCTTCTCCCTCTTAGGCCAGTGTTCAGAGAGAAGATTTATCACTCTGTCCCTGTGAGTGTTTAAGGACCTGGAGCTTAATGACTAAATAGATACAGCCTTAAAAGCACCTGCATGGATAAATAAAGACTCAGAAGAATTCAGAAAGTCTGTTTGAGAGCCCTGAGAAATTAAGAATGAGCTCTTTCTTGATTTAGGGGAGGAAAAAGCCTTTATTCTTCAAATTGGTGTTTTGTCAGTCTGGCTTGCCACTCCTTAGGGTTACTTGTGCTATTTTGAAGGGTTCCAACAAACATCTTTTTTTTTTTTTTTTTTTTTTTTTTTTTTTTTTTTTAGTGAATTTTAATGTCTCTTAGCAGATCCAGGCTAGATGTGGGCTATGGATGGTCGGCTTCTTAAAAAGCGCTAGTGCTGAACAAAAACAGGGACCTTTCTGTGACGTGGGAGGTTCACAACTCCATCACGCTGAGTCTGCTCTCAAAAGAATCTTGAGCAGGTTCAGGGTCTTTAGGAAGCTGCCATCATTAGGAAATCAGATTTAAACCTTAATAAAGTAGCTGTCATCTTTATAGCTGAAAAGTGCTTTGTATCTCAGTTAAGTATTGATAATACTCAATCTTAAGGAAGCAGCAGAATAGAGGTAACCTGATTACGTTTCTTACAATGGTATAATTTAAAGAAGATCTGATTCTGCAGATGCTGTGGTTATATTGGTGGGAGGTGTTCTGTTTTGCTTTGCTTTGCTTTGGTTTTTTGTCCAAAAACTGTTTGGACCAAAATTGGAACTCTGGGGTTAGGAGCAATGGCCACGACTCTAGTAAGTAAAACCCCTGGGTACTAGAGACCGGATTCAGCTAAGAATCCAGGAGCTGAGCCAGCTGGGCTTATTGGTAACCTCTCATTTACATGAATCTTTCTTTTCATAAGTACTTGACAAGATCTGTAAAGTAGTGTATTTAATTTACTAATTAAATTAAAGCTACTGAATAATGATTTGTCCACATTGATTTAGCTTAAATGGAAAAGATTAGCTTTGTTGTGATCTTGAGCGGCCTTAATGGCCAAGCCAGTTAGACACAAAGGCCCCTTGTGTCTTGTGGGTCAGAGTACATAGGTAAGCCAGGCTGTGATTGAATTGCCCAAACCTCACCCTGCATCCAGCTCTCCTCTGCCTCCCATTCTATTGTTGCACTGGGCTTAAGAGAATGTTAACGCGGTAATAGGCACAGGGCCTTCCCCATTATACGCCTTGCTATCGAACGGTTCTGCATGACTAGTTAAAGAAGATGGCAAGAAGATTAATGAAAGCCAGGCTAATGCAGAAGGGGGTACTTTTGCAAGACTTCTACTGAGGAGATATTAGAGCTGAACCAGAGCTTGGCTTTTTTCTTTATCCTGTGACCTTTGAACCTGCCTCACTGTTGAGAGCTGCCAAGGAAGTCGACATTTTGATTGATGTTGGTACACGAGTCAGTCTTTCCCATTGAATTC